GAGGTGGTGGTGGTGGAATATTGAAGTAGTGCATAGTTTGAGGTTGATCATGAGTTCCCGGAGGGTGTAACTGGCTGTGCTGCTGCTGTGAGATAACTGCTCGTGGCAACATTCCACTGTGAGCCACTGCTGCTTGCTTCGCTTCATCAGAACCTTCTGTCTCTAGTTTTGGCGCTTGCGGTCTACCCCACATCAATTTCAACCTGAGGCCCTTTATTACCAGCTTGTTAGAAAGCTCTTCAGCAGCCTTCTCTGCACCTTCTCTGGTGGTGTAGGTTACAAATGCGCATGCTCGCTGTAGTACCATTCTGATGGATTCAATTTCACCATGAGCGTAAAAGTTGTCCCGAAGATCTTGCTCGGTGACTCGAGCATCTAGACCGCCCACATACAAGGTTCTAATACTCTCATCCTCTGGCGGTTCTAGAGAAGGCATTTCTCCAGCCTTGTTAAGAAGCTTCAGTGCAACTGGATCATTAACCCTGAGGAATTAGAAAAGAAAGAAATCTCATGAGTAATACATCCGTGCAGTATTGTCAATCATTCAAATTTAGATGGGGATTCCTTGCAGAAGGATGTTCATTTGATAAAAGGCACATGCAATCGAATGTGAGAATGAAATTTAGCTCAGTCATCCATTTCAGTTCTATATTCGGCAGCTCAGCCCTTAAGATAATCCAGAGCATCTGGTTACTCAATGCAATGTAACATCTAACCGATTTTCTCAATGAAAGGACGATTTATAAATCCTACCAAACAAAAAGTACCAGAAAAAAAGTGCATAGCAACTGTAGTCCTATATATCCGAACAGAGACGTGTGTACCTCCTAATCTGAGACATCAATCTCTAGTACACAGACAAACGAACTCCTATTTTGAACTAGGATTTTGCATTCCATCAATTTAAACAAAGAGTCACCATTATGTGTAAGTAAGTATCATACAAATGTCGAGGCCTTCATGAAAGAGGGAACGTCCAGGAAAATGTCGAAGGTAAGCAATCCCCAAGCAAACAAAACCCTTGCATTCCCCAGGACAAGTGAAACGAATACTATGCAATCACTATATATTATTTATTTGATAAACAGATATATGTAATCTCAAATAATACTAGAAATTAAAATTTAAACAATGATCAATTTTTAGGATATCTAAAAATTAGGTAATTATCTAAAACAATAATGAAGTTTCAAATGCTAATATTTATGTAAATACAATTGTTTCTCATCTAAAAACAATCAAGAGAATGATTGCAAATAACATGCTGTTGATAGAGAGACAAAGGTAGTATTTCTGTCAATACAATTGTTTCTGATCTAAAAATAATCAAGACAACGATTGTAAATAAAAGGTTATTGATAGAGAAAGACAATAGTAGCCTGATGGAGGAAAAGGTGGTTCTATCCAGTGAAAGAGGACTGCAGTTTTGTGTTCTAATTAAAGAGAAGAAATAAAAGTCGGAATTCAAAATGCTCTGCATGCATAAAATAGAGGGCAAAGCAACCTAACAACAAAAAAAGGTGCAGAAATTAAAGTAGCTAGCACTAAAAGTAGATTTTTTAACCAATGGCCACTTGTAGGTAAGAACGAATTATCCCCATTTTTCAATACATAATTACTTTGGGAAAACTATACTTCATATGATATATAGCTAAGTCTAAAATATGGAACCAAATGCAAGATGATGACTGTAAAAAAGATCATAGAGAAATGTGGGTGACAAAGATCAAACACACTAGCTAATCATTCAACGGGAATAAGTCCACCATACCCATAATATCGATCCTTTATATTTTGTTGGGACAACTCTCCAGTTTCAGGCATCTCATGTCTGTAAGGGCATTCAGAACCTCTAGTGCATTCACCCCTAATATAGAAACTACAAACATGTGCACGGTTCCTCTTGTAATACGGTGTAGTTCTTTGAAGCTTCAAAATAGTGTCATTTGGCCGTGCCTTACCAAATGAGGACTCATAATCTATACCAGCTCTAGCCTGCATGGTCAATATTCAACCGAATTAGCATAAAGAAAGTAAGAAACGGCATAGCTGGAAAGACCTGCTAAGCGATCAAACTGGAAGTTTATAATTACTTGAATCTTCATGAAATTTAATTCATTGTATATGTAGAACTGAAATATTTTACCATTTCTCTCAAGTTATCTCTTATTCAAATTAATAAAATCACATCTCTAATAGAGAGATTTAATATTTCTTTGTTAAAAGTTTCATCCTCCACCCTTCAAAGAAATTAAAATCTCATTCTTTTAAATGGACATGCTTCATTATATTAAAATTTAAAACTAATTAGACGTGAAAACAAAAGTGAGAGAGAAAACAATATTCCATCCATAAACTTAGTAGAACCATGTATGTCGACGTCAAAATGGAATACTGTCTGACCCAATAACCATCAGATTTTATACCCAAATGTCCATGATCTTGATTCAAATCAAGAACCTTTACCAAATATACCCAACTTGGTTACTAATATTGCTTGATCCACTTTATGCTTTTTTTTTCTTTTTTTTTTTTTTGATAAACGGGAGTTGAAGCCTTGCTCCCCTATACCCAATGGCACCTACATGCCCCAAGACCCAGACCCAGGAAACATCTTCTTCTAGATAAGCTCACCCGAAGATTTAAACTTGAGACCTCTAAGCCGGTATGTCCAAGAGGTCCCAAGCTCTTGCCAACCGACTGCTCCTGGGAGCTTATGCTTCTCTTTCTTTTTCTTTCACCTTTCTTTCTTTCATTTCTTTTGTGTGTGCGAGGTGTGGTAGCAGAGAAAAAATGCAACAAATATAACCAATGTTCTCATCCAAACAAACCATTTAAGGCACCAAACACGTAACTGAACCCTTCTCTACAACAGATCATTAGTTTATTTTCATCTTTCCAATAAGCAACACTACATTAAAGTTTCCTAGAAACTTTAGACCTTTTACCATGAGCATAATCAGAATCCAAAAATTAAAATACACCAAACTATTGAAGTAGGACTAACAAAGCAAATCCAACCAAAAGAATCTAGAATAAAATATCACTCATAAGGTTTAGCATTAAACAGTAAAAACTGTCATTTGCAGTCCCTATGATTTAGGTTTCTAATAAACTAAAACAAGATATATTGATAGAAAGAAACATATTTAAACAGTAAAAAAAGGAAGATAAGTACTGACAACGGAATTTATTGTAGAAAGAAAAATCCTATATCTAAAAGGCTTCCTTAAATGAAGTACTCTACCAGTCGTTTACGGTTTACATACTCAAATATAAAAGTGTATGTTGATACTAATATAAATTGATTGATGCATGTAGCATATCCAAAACTACAAGAAATTAACCACTATGCATGCAGATAGAAATTTTATATCATATCCAATTTGACAAAAGTTATCTACTTAAGTAATCTGAGGAATCTGACACCTTAGTCTTCATTACACTATTAGCCATATTCCATGTCCATCAAGGCTTCTAAATAGAGGGTAAAATGGTTGGGTAGTGACAATGTTTTTCTCCCTCAACATTATAAAAGATTGCACCAACAACTACAAGGAGTAACCATCCTATAATTAGAGGAAGTACTTCAGCAGAAAGTACATACCTTCCGATCATGCTCCTCGGCAAAATATTCCCTATTCACATCACTCTTCGGAATAGCATCATTGGAGTTGATAGACAGGGCAGTATCTCGAACCTGAACTGGTAAGCCATATTCAAGGTCCAAAAGGCAAACTTGACATACATTTTTTAACTTACTACATGTCTGGCAAATCTCTGTTTTCTTATATCTAGCGTCACGTCCAGGCCTCCACCTGAAAACTGTAAAGGGGCGCGTGCAAATTTTGCATTCTTTATCATAATCAGCTCTCGTCTGCATTCAGATATCACATTCAATTGATCAGAGTTACGTCCAAATCATATACTAAGCCATGAATTGCAAAAGAGCACAACTCCAGCTACCATCATCATCCACTACACTCCCACATATTTCATGCAAGTCAACATATAAAATTCATAAACAGTCAACAGAAACCATCTGGGTGGGTGTTCAAACAGAAGGACTTATTCGAAAATTTATGTGCCTAATTCAAGAACGGGATCGAAGTAACTCGCGGGGTTGGGGGTAGTTAAATAAGATAAATAATTAACGCACCATGCGAACGTAGGGGTTATCGCCGAGGCAAGATTCGCAGATGATGGGGAAATCAGAGCGTTCCCACCCATCAGCTTCCAGATCCCTCAGCAACCGATGCGCCATGGAAATCTCCAAATCACGCCGAAATGGAGAGATCTAGCAGATGATTTCGGTTTGTAGAGTTAATTTGTTGCTGAAGGTGAGGGGACATGCTGATCTGCTGCTACCATGGGAGAACTGAGAGTGGGGTGGAGATGGAAGGCAAGAGATCTTAGACGAACGAAAGAAGAAACTAGGGATTAGAGGAACGCCGTATGACTGCTAGGGTTTCTCGTTCTGTAAAAATAGACCGAATCCAATATTTTTTCAGGTGTCCAAAATTTTCAATATATCCGACCAAATCGTCCGGTTGTAGTGATTCGGTTCGGTTGTTTGTTTACCGGTTTTTAATCACCGTTGCCTCGTTGAATATGGGTCGGTGCAAACAGGATTTGATTACTTTATTTGGATTCAGCCATATTTTTAAGGAGTACTATTTTAACAAAAGCACATTATATTTTAAATTTTTCAATCAGACAAGTTACATGAATGGGGAATATGCAAGGATGGAAGGAAAATGGCATAACTTACTTGGTCATAATTTAAAATATATATATATATATATATATATATATATATATATATATAAATTACACAATCTTTTTGTAGTTTTAATCTTATTTTTTCTCTTGAATTCTTATAATTATTAGTAGTTTTAATCCTTTTTTTCCTCTTGAATTCTTATAATTAAATTATTATATATATATAAACATTTTTTTGACAATATATCATTCAATTTTCATACAATGTCCAATTTATCCTTCAACTAGAATTACAACCAACCAATTCTTAAATCTTTCATGTTCATCACGTATAATTTGTCCTTAATCTCACATTTCGCTTAACTCCCAATTGAATCTATCCATTAAATTCACTAATAATTTGTCTTTAATTTCCTAAACCTCTCTAGATCTATTTCTAACAAAATTAAATTCATAAGAAATAATTATGAATCTTAAGAATTCATAATTCATTTCTATTTTGGAGAGGCATAAATGTTTTCTTCCCTCTTTTATGTATCCCTCTCTCTTTATATACATTAAAACTACTAATTTAAATGTGTACATAAATCATAAATGATAAGAATTTTGAAGAATTATAATATGAAAGGTTGGATATATAGAAAATGTCAAATTATTTCAAAAAATTAATTTATCTTGAATTATTTAATACTGGAGTTTCAAAAGTTTTAGAAATTTAACAATTAAATAATTTTTTGAAGTAAAAGTATAAAAGTAGATCCACATCAATCATTTAAATCCATTTATAAAATTGACACAAGAATGTGAAAAGTTAGAATATGGTAATATTGATTATAAAAAGTTTTTGTTAATTTATTTCTTAAAAATTAAAAATAGCAATAGCGAACAACAAAATCAAGACATATTATCCTATATTTACTTCTTGCCGATGTTTGAGATCAAACGGACCAATGCTTGCAAGATATACAATGATCAACGATTGCTAAACAACGTTACCGCTCTACAAAATATTAAAAATAATAGTATTCTGTCAATAAATCGAGAAATCACAATGAACTAAAATATGCCTTGCCTGCATTAAAATTTCAAACTTGTCGTCTACTTTTAGAAAATGTTCGGAATAGAGAACTTACAATAATACAAGGCCGCATTCTCGGAAAATTGAGAAACAATAAGAGATCTATTAAGAGAATGATTTATCCAAGAGAAAATCTTAATAGTTACATCAAAACACAAACAACACGAAAGTTGCCCCTTTTTCATGGGGATTTATCCATCACAGAGATGCACGGAGGAACAGAACGAAGTTCTTATATCTCTTTTCCACTCAATCCAGAAACAAGATCGGACGTTCTCCTGGTTCGTATCCATTTTAGTGAAACTATTCCTCAATCAAGGTAGTCGATAAGTCATCGAAGGGTTTGTGTGAATAAATGAATGATAAGCATAACTCATTTTAAAGTGTCCCACAGTGATCTAATATCTTTTCAAGAAAATGACGCGAGAATYCGCGGTGAAGAAATAAGGAGATCTTTCTATATCGAAATATCAGTTGAAAAAATCATAGGAAAATTCCTGGATCACCCGGTAAGAATGTGGGGAAGAGAGAAAAATATGTATAGAAAAAAGATAGAACAAATTAGTGGAAAGATAACCACTTTTATAGCGGTAGGAAGTAGAATAGTTAAAAAAATCTTTGAGATTCTAGCACCTTTCATGTTCAACCATTAAACCTAACTAAATAAAAAAAATTAATTTTAAAATTAATTTATATAAATAAAGGCAAAACTTTTCATATTCTTAACATTTCATGTTTCATTCATTTAACTCATTTTGTGGTGCATTTAAATTTTGTTTCCGTAAACAAATTTCAATATTCATAATTCATTTATGATAAATCTTAGGAAATTTTTAATATCTCAATTTAAAAATACAAATATTCTCATATTTTACTTCTTAATAATATATTTTGTTAAGTTTGATATATATAATTTTTATTTGCTAATTATTGGTTTAATTTTGTCATTATTATTTTAAAGATAAATTATTACATAATAGAATAATATTTAAATTTTCTCTTATTCTTTCAAAAAAAAATATTGCAATTTAAACTAATAAATAATAAAAGACAAAACTAAATTTAACTTTGATATATATAATTTTTATTTGCTAATTATTGGTTTATGTTATGATACTGAGAATTGAGATGAGAGAATTTACAAAGGAATTGAGCCCACAAAATATTCTCTCTCAATTACATTAGCAGTGAGCTAACAGAGGTATTTATAACCTTCTGTCTAAAAGAATAATTACAACAAATTTTGTTAATAATAAAAACAGAAGTTGAACTGCTTAACAAGCTACAACATTTCAATTATTAGTGATTTATCTTCACACACACCCCTAAACCAATGTCAGCAGCAGGTAAGACATTGAGTTTGGACCGAATATGATGAAAGGAGTTAGTAGATAACGGCTTGGTGAAGACATCTGCAAGCTGAGAAGAAGCTGGTAACTGTTGCACAGCAAGACGGCGTTGAAGAACTAAGTCACGAACAAAGTATATATCAAGTTAAATGTGTTTTGTACGTGAGTGTAATACCAGGTTTGCACTTAAATGCACAGCCCCAATGTTGTCACACCATAGTATAGGTGGAGAAGGAATCGAAATTCGAAGTTCAGCGAGCAAGGTCTGCACCCAGAGAAGTTCAGTAGATGTGTGAGCAAGACTGCGGAATTTGGCTTCGATACTAGAACGGGAAATGATGTTCTGTTTCTTCGAGCCCCAAGTCACAAGATTGTCACCGAAGAATATACAGAAGCCGGTGGTTGATTTTCGATCATCTGGATCGGATGCCCAATCTGCATCCGTATAACCTGAGATACGTAGACTAGATGGAACTTTCAGATACAACCCCGAAGTAAAAGATCCCTTTAGGTAGCGAAGGATTCTTTTGATTGCCTGCCAATGAAGTAGCGTAGGAGAGTGCATAAATTGGCACACTTTATTAACGTTGTATGATAAATTTGGACGGGTTATTGTCACATATTGGAGAGCGCCGACAATCTGTCTATACAATCGAGCATCAGAAAATAACTCACCTCCAAAAGCATAAGGAACAGAACCACTGATCATAGGTGTATTGATAGCATTAGCATCAAACATGTAGGCTTTATGGAGTAGATCTGTAATATACTTTGCTTGAGAAAGAAAGAGACCTCCCTGCTTCGAATATGAAACTTCTATACCAAGAAAGTAACTTAGTATCCCAAGGTTTTTAAGAGCAAATTGCTTATGTAACAGAGTAATAATATTGGTAATCTTAGCAACAGAAGATCCAGTTACAACAATATCATCAACATAAATCAAAATGTAGCTTTGAGATGTACCACGACGTCTAAACAATAAAGATGAATCAGCACGAAAACTTTGAAAACCAATATACAGCAGAAAAGTAGACAGTCTTTCAAACCAGGCCCTCAACCCATATAAGGCTTTGTGAAGTATACAAACTAATGGAATGTCAGTAGAGGTAGCAAATCCATGTGGTTGTTCCATAAACACGTCTTCATGAAGAACTCCATGTAAGAAGGCATTATGTATGTCTAACTGATGAATAGACCAGCCATTTGCCAAGGTATAAGTAAGTAAAACTTGAATAGTAACTGGTTTAACTACACGACTAAAAGTCTCAGTATAGTCGGCATCTGCTACTTGATGGAACCCCTTAGCAACGAGACTAGCCTTATAACGAGAAATTGAACCATCAAAATTTCTTTTTATTTTGAATACCCACTTGCAGCCAATAATTTTATGATCAAAAGGCTGAGACACAAGAGACCAAGTGTTGTTTTTAAGAAGGGCGGAATACTCATTTTTCATTGCCTGAAGCCAATGCGGACAGCGAAGTGCTTCCTTTACTATTATTGGTTCAACATCCAGATACTCATTGAGGAACACTTTTGGACGACATATACCATTCTTTGATCTTGTAGTCATGGAGTGAGTGTTAGAAACATTTGGTACAGTGAGAATGGAAGGTTCATCCAGAGCAACAGAAGCATGTAAAGAGTTTGATGATTAAGGAGAATTAGGAGAGGGAACAGATATAGGTTGAGTTGGAAGAGATAATGAAGCAGGTGGAGGTATAGAAGAAGGATTTGGATCAAGAGGTAAAGAAGATAATGGTAAAGGCGGAGCTGTGGGAGAAGGTAGTATAGAAGGATCGGAGCTGTGGGAGAAGGTAGTATAGAAGGATTTTGAATGGACTCAGAAGTAGTAATAATGGGGACTGTTGGACTAGGATTTGAAGGCAGTATAGGTAAATTTGTGATTATTGGTAAGTTTGATGACACAATTTGAGTAGCAGCAGTAGAGGAAGAAGAATGCAATAAAGGAAACGTACCTTGAGCAGTTGGGAAATACATTTCATCAAACCGAACATTTCTTGAGATGTATAAGCGACCGGACTGATCTAAACACTTGTAGCCTTTATGTTGATTGCTGTATCCAAGAAATAGACATGGAGAGGACCGAAATTGCAATTTATGAGAGTTGTAGGGTTTAAGACATGGAAAGCATAAGCATCCAAAAACTTTAAGAAATGAATATAAAGGTGTAATGCCAAACAATTTCTCTATAGGACTAATGCAATTTAGGATTGTAGTAGAAAGACGGTTAATGGCATATACAGCTGTAGAAACGGTATCATCCCAAAATTCAAGTGAAAGAGAGGCTTGAGATAAAAAGGTAAGGCCCATATCAACA